GGCCTTCAGTTCTTGGCATATACAATTTACCATGTGTATTGCTTACTGTAAAGAAATGCCCCCAGCACTTCTCCTCTCCACGGGACTACACAAGCTGCCAGCTCTGAGCCGATTGTGCTTATTGTCACCATTTTTGAGGTCGCCATGGAAACCTCACACTTGTCACCGTACTCTGTTAGTGATTAAAGAACGCACTGGAGTGAATGAAATGAACTCGACTGGAAGGGTGAATGAGCAGAGAGGGGAAAAAAAGTTTGACAATGGCATATGAGCAAATGGAGATGTTTAGATAGCAATTAGCAGACTGTAGGAATCTCGAGTCGGGACGGTTTGAAGACTTGTATAGGGCTCTTGTACTGGCTTCAATCGTAAACTAGATCCCAAACTGAAAGCAAAAAATGTGATAAACAAAATCGATTGCTTTTGAAAATACAACTCAAAAGGACATCTTTCTTTTTTGCTCATTTAGGAAGATTCAGTCTTCTATTGAAGGTGCCATGAATTATTTTTCTAGTAGTCATTCTTACTGTGTGGGTGACCCCTCCACGGATCTTCCTTGTAACCTGGTCTAGATCTTATCTAGATAAAACTAAAACATGGAAACAAAGCAAAACAGGTGGGGACATGCAAGTCGTGACTTGGACTCGAGTCAGACTTGACTCACTATTTTTAGGACTTGAGACTTGACTTGATAAAATGGACTAAGTCTTGGGACTCAATTTGGACTTGAAGGTCAGTGATTTGGGACTGTGACTTGAGAAGACCTGTGAAGTAGTTTTAAAACTTTCTATTCTGACTGTAATGATTCACTCTAAGATCTTGTCAAGATATTTAAAAAGGAAAAAATTTACATTTCTGCAACTCTAATATACTCTATAAATACTCACATGTAAATATACTATGACTTTATAAGTACAATTTATCTTAAAAGTCAAATAAATTGCAAAAATCTAAGCTATATTTGGTACTTTGGTTTAAAGACTTGAAATGACTTGAAGCTCAAAGCAGATGACTCAGACTTGACTTGGACTTATGGGTCAGTATCTCAAGACTCGGCTTGGACTTGCCTGTATTTGACTTGGGACTTGACTCGGACTTGAGGTTAAAGACTTGAGATTTACTTGAGACTTGAGACGATGAGTTGGTCCCACCTCTGCAAATCAATAACTCTAGTTTCTCTACGGGGAATCTTACTTCTACTTTAAAGGTGACCTGGTGCACTTTTAAAGTAGAAGTAAGATTTTGTACCAAAAATGTCTGCAAAGAATCACATCTAATTTGAAACTTAAAAATCAGAAGTACTGCAAAAAAAAAAAAAAAAGAGAGATACTTCCAAACGTTTGTTGCTATTGTTTTCTTTGTACCATAGAGTTTTTCAAAGTTCAGAATAAGCCACTAAGAAGGATGGAAATACTTGCATTTTCTTGTGTACTTATACAATCTTATATACGATTTGAAACTTATAATTTAGAAGTAGTATAAAAATGTGACACATTTGTTGCTGTTGTCTTTGTACTTTATTGTATTGTCTCACATTCACAATAAGCTCAGACTAAGATTTAGACTGGTACAATCTTACATAGAAGATGAAATATATGCATTAGAAGCTAGAAGTTAAGTAAAAATGTGATACTTCCAAACTTTTGTTCTATTCTCATCTGTACTTTATTATTCTCCCTGGCATTTCATACTAGCTAGACAGAATATTTAAGTGTTTTACTGTAGTTTTCACATGTATTGTGTTATGAGTACATCTGTTTCTTCTGTTTTGTTTTGGGCTTTTTTTGGTTGACTTTTTATGTGAGGCACTTTGGTCAGCTGAAGTTGTTTCAAATATGCTATATAAATAAACTTGAATTAAATCGAATTTTTGCCGTCACCACCTTAAAATGAGCCAAGACTCAGATTTAGACTTGTGATTTCATATAAAGGACTTGAAACTTAGAATTTAGAAATGTAAACGTGTATAAAATGTGACACATCCTAAATTTTGTTGCCCCTGTCCTTTGTTTTTGTTCTTTATTGCTGTCATCACATTCAAAATAAGCTCAGACTCAGATTTAGACCCTGTACAATCTTACATAGACAGGTTTCTAATTGGCGTCGGACAAAACAGCAGACGTGGTTTCCTGTGTGTAATTGTAAACTGATTAAAGCTGTTGTTGGTCCCAAGGTCTTCTAAACAAACCCTCCCCATGTGGCTGTCTCTGGAACAGGAAGTGCTCTGACAATAGCTCCGTTACTATATCAGTCCGCTGGTTCCCACAGGTTGGCTCTAAAGGGATCTGTGGAGAGGATGGTTTTGAGCCCACCCAGGCACAATGACACACACATGGACAAGGCGAGCAGGAAGAGAAATGTCAAATAAACGATTGTTGGAATGGGCAGCCTTGAGGAACATAAACAAAACTGTTTTCCACAAAAGACAATGTATGAAAATGTATATATTATATAAGCAACACAGCAACATCCACTGACAATGTATATATTCCATAAGCCATACAGCAAAACCCACTACTACTACTACTACAACAACAACTGTATCATGAAATCTAATGAAAAATCTCTGTTGTGTACTACTACTACTACTACTACTGCTACTACTAATTCTAATGATTTAACAAGTGTGTAATGAAATCTAATGAAAAATCCGTTGTGTACTACTACTACTACTGCTGCTGCTACTGCTACTACTACTACTACTACTACTACTACTACTACTGCTGCTACTACTACTACTACCACTACGACTACTGCTGCTGCTACTACTACTCCTACTACTACTTCTGCTACTACTACTGCTACTGTTAACTCCAAGTATTTAACAAGTGTATAATGAAATCTAATGAAAAATTTCTGTTGTGTACTACTACTACTGCTGCTACTACTACTACTACTCTAATCTAACTCTAATGATTTAACATGTATAATGAAATATTTCTGTTATGTACTACTACTACTACTACTACTACTACTACTACTGTTAACTCTAATGATTTACCAACTGTATAATTAAATCTAACGTATAATCTCCATCTGTACACCACCTGATTCTCTCTATGACACGTAATGACACTTTAGGCCAGGTTAAAGTTCAGATCTGTGGAGAGGCAATCCCACTCACTGCAAAAAAGCATGATTTAAAGGTAGTGCTGATATAGAATAAAACATTTGTAACTGAACAATGGCTAGATGGTGGGACATTTCAAGAACATCAGCTTGAAGACCAGAAGTTAGTGCCTACTTTGAGTAAACAATTACTTTAATATTTATCAAAAATGTTGAATTTAAAAGAATTGCTCAAACCTGTTATAGTCCATGCTTATACTTCACTGTCCGCCCCATCACAATGGACCAATATCCAGTGTTCAGCAGGATCACATTCCGATCCAGTGACTGTTGGGTGTATCCTTTATGGCTTTCCAGTGAAATCATGTTTAGTGACTTTGCTGAGAATGAATGAGATCCATATATTGTGCTTTTTTTTGTCTGTCCCCATGTCAAAATCTACTTTTTATATTCATAATGTAAAGATAAACATGGTTATTTTACTGTATTGATACTTTGCGGGTGATGATCAACATTCCCTGGAGATTGATGCTAACTGTAGGCATGCTCTGTCGGAGGTTTTGACTTTAATCTGAGCTTTTGTTTAACACAATCTGATCGAAAAGAACTCACTTAGTTGGAACTACAACAGATGATGTTTACTGTTCAACAAATCCTAACACCTAAACAGGACCATGAACACTAATATTGATCACAGGCTCCAGAAATATTACTAATATTTGCATCGTTTCACTATGGTAACTGATGAACACTTCACCATACACATAGTTACAGAACATCCCAAACATGTCACTACAAAGTATCAATAGAAAAACATATCTTATCATTGTTGTCGTGCATCTGTCCAGGAAAACAAACTTCTAGCACAGGTCGACCTAGATGACTTAATTGAAAAAATAAACAGCCATTCCTAATACATTTACACACAACAATGAGACTACAATGACTTCCTCCGACCTCATCCCCAGAGCCCGTGAGCCAGCTCCGCTCTTATTGTTTCCTATGGTTGTGGTTGGGGACCAGGATTTCCTCACGCCCCTTGACCTCTGGCAGGTGAGACGGATCAGGCAGGGCACGGGAGTTTATGATAGCCTTCTGTCTCGCACATGCCTCAGCACACATGTAGTCCAGGCAGGCGTAGGCTAGCACAAATTATGCACTCATAACGTGGACAAAAACACGCATGAGAAGACAGGAAATGCGGCTAAAATGGTGCCATCTGACCTCTGGGTAGAATGCAAAGGTTCAAATGTGCAAAAAGAATCACACGGACAAGCCACGTCATGTAATAACTGAGTTCAAAAAAGATTTTAAAAAGTACGACCACATTTTTCAAAATATTATGCAAAATCTCAAACCCAGAATTAGAATTTTGCCGTTTCGAAATTTCAATTCATTCTAACTCCTGGTATAAGTTCAAGCATCTATAAAGGCATTGTCTCTTGCTAATCTATTTTTATCACTAAATCTTTCCAAAAAAAAAACAAAAAAACACACAGATTGTAAAAATTGGGTCACACCATACGCACAACCTAGCCCCACCCCCTAACACACACTTGCATATTAAATACACAATTTGAAAATTTTACATTTCCAGACACTTGTCATCATAAACTTGTAGAAATAATGACAGTACTTCTTTAAAAATGTCTAAAAAGCTATGTAAGATTTTGACAATTTCATGTTTATATTTTATCTGGTAAAAGTTGGGGTCCTGAGAGAATAAATTTCATTGATTTGGCAAGTTATCATTATCACAGAAGGAGTGAGGGATACCAGTCATCACAACTTTGATCCATACATTTTTGGGAATCCCCTTTGTAGTACTTGTACTTCAGTAAACTATGCAGCTGTTTCTCAACACACAAAAAACAACTAGGTCATCTATATTAAAACCAGTACAATAAGAGAACTGCCATGCTAAGTCTTACCTTCCACATGATTAAAATCCCATCGTCCACAAACAAAGTGAAAAAAGAGGAAGAGAGAACAGGTCAGGAGACAGGAGCTATCTTTGGCTGCGTCCCGATTATTTCCAAAAGTGTATAGGAAGGTAGGGAAGGAAATGAGGAGCTAGGAAGCCAAAAAAGGGGGCTAACTTAGACGTCGTAGTCCCTGCCGTATCATCACCTCTCTTGACATGTTCACTGCCCTAACTGTGTGCAAGCTTTTCCATCCTGACCCGGCTGAGCGAGGAGGAGAGAGATAGTCCCCCCTCCCCTCGCCTGCTTACTCCGCTCTCTAAGCCCCTCCCCCGTATTCAAATCCAATCACAGAGCCAATCAGAGGAGGGCAGGGGGGCGGGGTTAGTGGAGTCAGATGTTTTTGTGCGTTGATGTGAGCAGGCGTGCAGAAGAGGAGCTGCGTCTGGTTGTGTGGCGGATTTCACTCTTGGCCTTGATCCTTTCAGCTGTACAGTGAAGTTAAAACAACAGGCTTACGTTACACTTCCTCTGTTATTAAGGCGAGATTTGGGAGGAAGAGCCAGAGCTGCAACTAATTTTTTGGTTTGGCTCTGAAAAAAGTTCTGATTTCTGGGGGATTTTTCTTCAGGCATGTGTTCCAAAAACATTTCCCGATTGAATTTTCAACAAAATTCTAGCCTATAAACACATAACAGCCAGACTATTCTCTAGTCATTGGTCTGAGCTTCAAAAGCGCTGGAACTATCTTCTAAGCCGCCCTGATTTCAATCATTTAAAAGTGCGCTAAATTTTCTGGCAGAGGTAAACCTATGTCTTCTCTTTTGAAACGAGCAGGGGGTATTACAAGGCCAAATTCAAGGTCTGATCTGTGGAGAGGCGACGCCGCTTACACTTGTAATAATCCAAGTTATTTTTTAGCAATAAACGCCTGTAATTCAGATAAATTGTGACATTTTAACACTACATTTATATGATGATGGTCTGAACAGAAGACACAAAAGTGGTGTCGTGTCCTCACTTTTTATTCAGCATTTAGACGGAGTTTTCGGGAGGAAATCTGCATGCATACGATGACGCAAAAGAGTGAAGAATTCGATTGGTTATGCATACCAAGCGGCTCGGTGGTGACGTTAGGTGGTGACGTATGTGACAAACACGTACGCGGAATGAGCAGATCAGACCAGATCTGACCAGAGTTTTGTGTCTTGGGAAGTGTAGACGGAAATGCTACGAAAGTGTATTCAACGTTTCCACTCTGGAGGGTGGTTTCAAATTTTTGCATTTATAAGCCCCGAAAACGCCATCACTGTCTAAACAAAAGGCACTTCCGATCAAATATTTTGTTGTTTTGACCCGCAAGCTTTCTCATGCAAACATGCCCTTATATCCTTATATAGCACTTTTCCACTTCAAGGCACTTAAGACGCTTTATATCAAGGCGCCATTCCCACATTCATACACTGAGGGCAAGGTGGGCTAAGTATCTTGCCCAAATACACAATGACAGCATTCATCTGAGGGGACATTGAACCAAAGATGTTTACAGAGATAGAGCAGGATTTGACCAGCCAAGACTGGACAAACACTCTACGACCTGAGCTACAGTCACCCCAAAAATAAAGGCTAGATTTAATGCTGCATTGTGGAATATTCTAGGCAAGGCAACAACATACTCTCTACCAGAAGAGTTACAGAGAGCACCTTTAAAAGCAAGTGTAGAAAAGCACGTAGAAAAAGTAGTAAGATACCAGGATGATAGATGGATCTGACTTTGCGACAACAACAAAATGGCTAATTCGACTTTACCTTTCAAAAGCAAGATCATAATAACAAGACTAATACTTATTTAACATTCACCGGATTGTCTCGAATCCATTCAAACTTTATCTCAACTCTCCTCCTCCGCTTTTTCCTTCGCTAACTTCTTAATGTCTCCCTGAACTCTCCTCCCCCACCTGTCTCCTCCACCTTCACACTGCTACACCCCCAGTGAAGCCTGCCCCCTCCCCTCCTGTTTTTGATGTACCCCTCCAGGAAAGCAGCTTAAATTAATCTCCAAGAAGCAAGTCAGTCATTTACCCACCCACACCGCGCACCACCGTGGACCTCTTTGATCAAAACATCTCACTGTTTAATATCATGTCTAAAAATAACATGTTCTAAAGCTACAAATCATCTAAGGTGGTATGTACAGCCGACCGCACTGCTTTAATAATTACAAGACTCAAACTCCAAAATCTGTCTTCTCATTGGAGGCTAGATCCCACTTAATCCTTAACATTTTGCCCTAGAGGAGTGTGCACCGAAGGGGAAGGGTGGAACAAGACTTTGCAAGATGTGGGGAATTAATTCAATCTTGTGTTGGGTAAAACAACTCTCTCCAAAATCTGTTGCCTTTAAATGAATCTAATGTGTATTTTTGCATTGATAACAAATACTGATATTAAAGGGCATGTATTACTTTATTTTCTGATCTGTTATAATGTTGTTTTCTCATCTGAAACATACCTGAAGTTGTGTTTTGTTTCATTCACACATAATTAATGCACAGATTCAGCATATTTAAGCCGAGTTCTTCTCTCTAACTGAAAACACTCTTCTCCACCTTGTGATGTCATGTGATAATACAGGAAGTGCTCCATTGTATTTTAAACTCCATACATGTTTAGTAGAATCATTTGGATAATTTGAGCCCAGGAAATGTCTATTTCTACTAAAGTCTACTAAATTCTACTAAAGAAAAAGTAAAAAGCTCCAAAAGGGACAGTCTGGAATTTTGGACATAAGACCTCATTTCCTAGTGAGCCAGAGTGTTGGAGACGTGTGGAGACACTTTTTTAAATATTCCATCCAGTCCTTGTATTTGCAGAGGTCGCTGGTGCTAGGCTAGTGCATGTCAATGGCCATAGTTAGCCTGCCACTAAAAACAGTCTTACCCACTCCACAAAACACCTGAGGCAAAACAATTATAAAGCCAGACTATTAATGTAAATAGTCTGTGTTGACAGAATAATGTTTGAAATAAAACTAAACTTGCATTTGAAGGATTTATGTGTGAGCAGCAGCAGCAAGTTCTTGATAGAAAGCTTGGCAGTGGCGGACTAATATATGAGAAAATAGTCCCTCAGAATGTGACGATTCATGCGATGCAAGGTTAATTTTATTTCAAACATTATTCTATCAACACAGACATTTACATCAACAGTCTGGTGTAATAATAGATTTGCTTTGGGTGTTTTGTGGAGTGGGTAAGACTGTTTTTAGTGGCAGGCTAACTATGGCCATTGACATGCACTAGCCTAGCACCAGCGACCTCTGCAAATACTCTCCACACATCTCCAACACTGGCTCACTAGGAAATTAGGTCCTATGTCCAAAATTTTGTACTGTCCCTTTAACTTCACTAAAAAGAAAGAAACTATTACATAACATCATAAGGTGGAATAGAGCGTTTAGAGCCTTGGAGATATAGACATACTAATAATGCTGGATTAATCAAATGTGTGAATGCAACAAAACACAACTCCAGGTATGTTTTTGAGGAGGTAAGAACATTATAACATGACTTAAAGCTCACAAGAGTCAATTTTGTGTAATATAGGATCTTTAAGTTCTTAAAATAAGTACTTTCGATAAACACAATATTTCAACTAACACATATTTAGAACACTACATTTTTGTGTTGTGTCCACATTACCAAAGAGGATTATTTCAAATAGAGTAGATTGGACTTGATTGTTGCATTTATATGAATTTGACTACTACTACTATAGACTACAGTCTCTATAAACTAAAATCTGTCATTGGAGTAAGGCCATAGAACATGAAGAAAGTTATTTTACCTAAGTTTTTGAGTAGCTATATCCTACATTTTAGCCAGAAGTTTGGTCCTATGTCATGTTGTCTTGGTTACGTTTAGGGAGCAGCCCTCTCAAATCTTCTGAGTAGAGCTTTCCAATTAAATAAAGTGTTTTGGAGGTCAAAGCATCTCTCTATTGTGTCTGAGCTGTTTACCTCTGTGAACTTCTTTTCACCGTTTTAATTTACTCCTTTTCTGTGTCCCTTAAAGAGAAGTCACTTGCAGAGGTCCTGACATTTAAAAGGCAGCAGAGCGTGATGTACAGCTGCCCAGAGGGTGCCTGTGTGTTTGGAGACGCAGGGGCTGTGGGGACGTGTCAACTATAATCAATGCAGAGTGGTTTTGGGAACATAATGCAATGGTTTCTGCTTGTCTAATGTGTCCTCTGTAGTGGTTGGACTAGGATGAGACAAAACGGGAGTGAGGAATTTTGGAAAAGAGACAACGGAAGATGGGACAAGCTACTGGGAAGTTTCCATCATGAGTCAGCTTCTAGAAATCCAAACTTAGAAGAGAAAGGACAAGCTAAACACCTATAGTATTGTAAACTGGAGCAAGTTAAGTTAATAGTGGGTAGGTACCATAGACTGTATATATAGCTAACCCACCAGCTGCCACGTTCCAAATAGGGAATGACCATGGGGGTACTTCTGGCTCCATCGACACTGGCTCCAGTTGACTTCACACTGAAAAACTGTCACTCTTCTCTCTGTAACTGCTGCATTGAGCCTTGTCATTTTGGTCTTAAAATGTTCATATTAACCCGCTTTACATTATCCTAGTGTTTTTATTTCGCTATATTGTCCGTAAATAAACTCCTATTCCTAAAACACAAGCCTCGGTGAGCTTCATTTGACTGGAGAAAAAAACTGTGGGTGACGTCACATTCCCTTAGTCCACTTTTTTGTAGTCTGTGGTAGGTACGAAGAGGAATTCTATTCTGTTGTAATGACAAACTTGGTTTGAAAAAAATATTTGACATCACAAATTTGACAAGGTAGACAAGCACATTTCAATGAATTTTTTTTTTTTTTTTTTTTTTTTTTTTAAAGGTGCACTGTGTAATTTTTCTGATGAGGGTCCAGTCATCTAGCCAGGCTGGCGCCACCTAGTGCCTCAATTTCATTTCTCTCCAGCGACAAGGTCAGGAATCAGAATACACTAGATGGTTTGCAAGAACCCAGGAAGTTGTAGATTGTGCACCGGCTGTGAAGCCATGACGTCAAACTCAAGC